CCCCAAGACTAGGAATGGCACTGGGCCCAAACTAGGAGTAGAGAACAGTGGGGGAGATGGAAGGGTGAATGTGGCTTGGGGAGTCAAAGCGCGGAGGGCTGCACTATATATAGACTTACCCCAAGAGGTCTGAGGATGGGAGTCCCTTGGTCTTTTTTGTTGTTGTTTATTTTGTTTTTTGGAGACAGTTTCTTACCAAGTATCCCTTGCTGGCCTTGAACTTGCCATGTGGACCAGGCTGGCCTCAAAGTCATAGAGATCCACTTGTTTCTGCCTCCTGAATTCATACTTGTTTGTTTTGTTTTTTTGTTTGTTTTGTTTTGTTTTTGGTCTTTTTGTGTCAGTGTCCCCAGGCTGGCCTTGACCTCACTATGTAGCCTATGCTGATGTTGAATTCATTGAGATCCTTCTACCTCAACCGTCTAAGTGCTGGAATTCCAAATTTTTGCCACTATGCCTGGTCAGAATCTTTGATGTGGGAAATATGGCTCCTTTGGGCTTTCAGGTTCCACTCCTTACAAGAAGAAACATGATCCTCTTTCTCAGGATCCGTATTAATCATCCTGGAGAAGGCTGAATTAATTGGGTCACATGCACACACTTGGCCAACCGCACATATCCACCCTGTGATTGATAACTTCACAAAAATCATACCAAGTAGAGAAGGGGCAGTTTTCAGAAGACAGCAATGTAGGATAGACAGAGGGGACAAAACAAAGTAAAAACAAACTGTTCATTGTAGTTTTTAAGAGCTCATATATTTTGAAGGTGTGTACAAGACTAAACTTAAAAGTTCCAAAAGGACTTCTCTCAGCTTTGATAACTGACCTATCCTAAGCACGGGTGATAATGCAGAGCCATTTGGACAGCTCCTCTTCCCTCATCCCCCCTTTCCTTCCTTCTTTTCTTTCTTTCTTTCTTTCTTTCTTTCTTTCTTTCTTTCTTTCTTTCTTTCTTTCTTTCTTTCTTTCTTTTAAGATAAGTTCTTACTGTGTAGCTCTGGCTAGCCTGAAATTCTCTATGTAGACCAGGCTGGCCTTGAATTCATAGAGATTAATCTGCATTGGCTTCCTGAGTGCTGGGATTAAAGGAGGCATGTACCACCACACTTTTTTTTCAATTTTCCCAAACTTTTTTTATGTATAATAATGACAACTGCTAGCTGGGTGTGGTGGCACATGCCTTTAATCCCAGCACTTGGGAGGCAGAGGCAGGTGGATCTCTGTGAGTTTGATAATAATAATACTACTAATAATAGTAATAATGACAATTACTTTATTCTAGTGTCTTTCAGAAGAGAGGGCTGAAGAATAACCTGTCCATCTTGTCATTTATGAGTATATTCTCTATAACGTTGACTATCTTTCCTAAAAACAGGATTATAACAGCAAAGGGTAATATTATTCTTTTTTAAGAATATCTTTTATTGTGGTGGGAGAGATGGCTCAGAAATTAAGAGTATTGGCTGCTTTTGCAGAGGACCTGGATTTGGTTCCCAACATCCACATGGTAGCTAAAAACTGTCTGTGGCTCCAATTCCAGGGGATCTAATGCCCTTTTCTGACCTCTGCAGGCATTGCACGACATGAGTGCACTTACATACATGAAGGCAATACACTTAAACACATAAAATAAAAATAATAAATAAAATTAAAAAATATATCTTTTATTTAATTTTTTGAGACACTGTTTCCCTGCAGCCCAGTTGCCCTGTAACTTGCTATGTAGACCAGGCTGGCACATGGGTCACCATGCCTGGCTCCCAGTATCAGTCTTTTAAAGGCAGTTCAACATGCAAAGCAAACACTTCCACCTTGTAGCAAAGTAACCATCTTCAATTCAGCTTCCCAGTACAAGAATGTGGTCTCATTATCTCAAAGCTAATGAAGAATTATTAGTGTAATCAGTACATATTGTCTAATGATATTTAAAAATTATTTTTATTTTTATTTTTAAGGTACGGGGAAAACAATGGTGATGGACATGTTTTATGCTTATGTGGAAATGAAGAGGAAAAAACGGGTCCATTTTCATGGTTTCATGTTAGACGTGCACAAAAGTGAGTTAACGATCTGAAAGCGGTGATTTTTTTCTCAGTGGGCAAACTCTACAAAATAGTTTTCAAAGTGAATGAACATACAAGCTTTTAAAAGATTAGACTTTTGCTTGAAGTAAGATTTTATTCGGTTTCATTTGTTTTATGGTATGTTAAAATAGAAATGTATCTAGTGTTAGTTCTTAAAACCAACTCAGTACTCCCCAGCAGAGAACGGAGGTTACAGTATGAAGGGCAATGGTTTCTATTTCTTCTAAAGGTTGATGAAAAATGTTAAAATTGCACCTGTTTCAGAAGTTTCCTTGATTAGGCTCTTAACTCTGAGTTACCTAGCTTGTGTTTGCATGTAGGTTTTATTGTTCTGTCTGGAGGATCTTCCTTCCCTCACTCCCTCCTTTCCTTCCTTCTTTATTTTTTGAGACAGAGTGTCATGTAATTCCTGATCCTCCTGAATTCCCTCCCAATGATGGAATTTCAAGTGTGCATCATCATACTTAGCTCTTAGTGCTCTTAGATTATTTCATTTTTTGTGTGATTTGCCTGTCAGATATACTATGACCTCCTTGGAGTAGGAACATTGTTTTTTTGCCCTGATACTTTCAGTGTTTAGTGCGAAAATATAATGAATGCAGCTGGAGTGGTTCGAGTGCTCCAGGTTGGAGAACACGGGCTTTCTGATCAGATAATCCAGATATAATATACACTTCTTGGGCAAGATTCCAGCTGCTGCTCTCACCATTCAAACCCTCAGGACTAATTTCAATTTGCTGATGCACCTAGCTACCTATCACTTTGCTGTCCCTGAGGTGATTCAGCAGTGGAGATGGAATGACCTTGAACTTCCTTTTTTTACAATTTTAAGACTGTCGTGTATTTGAATAACTTATTTTGAAGTCGAGAAAATGTGACCACTTTTAATAATTAAATTGTAATTATTTAACTGCATTGCATGTGGAATTTAAACTTAATTTTTATCTCCAAGCTACAGTTTCATTTAAACATTAAAAATATGTTGTAGTTTCTCAAAATGTGCTAATAATGTAATATTTGGTCTGCATTTATTTTATCCATTTAAGGAATACATTGCCTTAAACAGAGTTTGCCAAAAAGGAAGGCAGGATTCATGGCTAAGTCATATGACCCAATATCTCCCATAGCTGAAGAAATCAGCCAAGAAGCATGTCTCCTATGTTTCGATGAATTTCAGGTAATGTGAAGATTTTTCTTTTTTCTTTTAGATTTATTTTTATCATTTTAAATTATGTATTTGTGTGGGGGTATAAGGATGTGAATGCAAGTGTCTGTGGAGGCCAGATGCATCTGATCCTCTGGAGCTAGAGTTACTAGTTGTTGTGAGTCACCTGAAGGAGATGATAGGACCTGAACTCGAGTTCTCTGCAAGAGCAGAAAGTGCTCTTAACTGCTGAGCTATCTATCTAACCCAAAGTGAGGATTTTTCATACATGGAGAATGGCATATTGAACTAAGTGTGAAGATTTAAATTTTTCTCCTAGTGTTTTCATTATTTCATAACTTAACTTTACATCTTCTATGTTACTAGTTCAATTTTCCTGTCTTGTTTGGGGGTTGACAAACCATGGCCTCCACAGAACAAATCTGGTCCTCTCTGTCTGGCCCTGAGAAAAGAAAGGTTAATTTTTTTTTTTTAAGATTTATTTTAGAGCTGGAGAGATGGCTCAGTGATTAAGAGCATTGACTGCTCTTGCAGAGGACCTGGGTTTGATTCCTAGCACCCACATGGTGGCTAACAACTATCTGAAACTCCAGTTCCAGGGAAATCCAACACCCTCTTCTGACCTCTGCAGAAATTGCATGACCTGAGTACGCTTACATACATGCAGGCAATACACTCATACACATGAAATAAATAAAATATTTTTTAAAAAATAAATAAAAAATAAAGATTTATTTTATTAGAGGCAGCTGGATCTCTGTGAGTTTGAGGCCATCCTGGTCTACATAGTGAGTTCCAGGCCAGCTGGGGCTACAGGGGGACCCTGTCTCAAAAAGACCAAAAAAGTATTTTTTACTTTATTATTTACTTATATGTAAATGTATTTGTCTGTGTACATGCATGTGCATGTACATGTGGGTGCCTATGGAGGCCAGAAAAGGCCATTAGATCCACTAGAGCTGAAGATAGTTGTGAACATGGATACTGGGAGCTGAACTATAGTCCTCTGCAAGAGCTCTTAACCACTGAGCTATCTCTTCGGCCCTGGTTTTTATGTTTATTTTTTATGTATATGAGTGTTTGCCTGCATGTTTATAAGTGCACATGTGTGTGCCTAGTGCCTTTGGAGGTCAGAAGAGGGTGTCATAGCCCTTGGAGCTAGAGTTACAGATGGTTGTAAGCCACCATGTGGTGCTGAGAACTGAACTTGGGTCCTCTGCAAGAGAAGTATGTATTCTTTTTCTTTCGAGACAAGGTATCACTTGTAGCCCTGACTGGCCTGGATCTCACTTTGTAGACCAGCTTGGCCTTTAACTCGCAGAGGTCTGTCTGCCTCTGCCTCTTGTGTGCTGGGATTAAAGGCATGTGCAGCCATGTATGTGTGCTTAACTGCTGAACCATCTTGCCAACCCCAATATTTGAGTATTTTATTTCATTTATTTATTTTGAGATAGGGTTTCCCTGTAGTCCCAATTGGCCTGGAACTCGCTATGTAGACCAGGTTGGCCTCGAACTCACAGAGATCAACCTGCCTCTGCCTCCCAAATGCTGGGATTCAAGGTGTGTGCCACCATGCCCAGCAACATATTTGAGTATTTTAAAGCAAATGATGGGCACATCTCATTTAAGCTTGTCAACTACCATGTCCCTGTTCCTGTCATCTCCCAACGTTCTGAGGGGCAGGGTTCCTACTGCAACTTGGGTGCCGGCATCACAGATTCATGTACCAGCCACTTACAGCTCCTTGCAGGGCATCTGGCCCTGCTATGTATTACTTGGCCTCCCAGCCTTTTTTGGAAACCTTGGGGCAAGCCTGGATAACTCCGTAATTCTTACATTCTGCCTGCCCACAAACCCAGCACCCCTTAGGCAGTGTCTGCTGCCACCTCAATATGTAGCCTGTCACCCCCTCTCCCCAACTGTTTTACTTAGGTTGCAGTAGTTTCTGAGTGCCTGTGCTGCTGAACTGGGGAAAAGTCATTGCATAGGGGTCCTTGCTGGACCAGTGTACCTCTGTGTCTCTTTCTCGTCAGGCACCTCTTTTTTCAGGCACTTAATTTTTGAATGAAGGTCTTCCAAGTGAATTTTTATTTCTTGTTAAAGATTTTATTTTATTTTAAATTATGTTTATATGTGTTTTTCTGTATGTTAGTATGCACATGTGAGTGCAAGGGCCAGAAGAGGGCATAAGATCCCCTGAAACTGGAGTTACAGGTGTTTATAAGCCACTTGGTGTGGGTGCTGGGAATTGAACTCAGGTCTTCTATAAGAGCAGTACGTGTTTTTAACTGCTGCACCATCTTCCAAGCCCCTGAATCTTCATTTTTCATAACCTGGAGCATTCAGTAGGTAGAGTCTTGCCTCAAGGCACCTTTCCCAGTGTAAGGTGCAAGGTTTCTCTTTAATGATGCTGTATTTTTAACAATTACAGCAGTTTTATACATACCTGTACAAACCTTCACATGTGTTCATGTTCCTTTCTTTGCCAAACTGCATGTTTTTTTTACATATTTCTGCTGTTTTGTTTTTTTTTTTTGCTCTGAAATCTCACATACATCCAACTAAACACAACAAATAATAACCATGCCACATTTGAATGCTGTGCTGTTTTGACATTTCCTTCACCAAATAAATTAGTCCATTGTTTTAAAATGCAACTTCCCTTCAAATTTCAGGACATTGGCAGATCATAGCCAGATTCTTTCCCATATTATAACACAAATGGCCTCTATCCTATTTCCTGACAGAGCCCTTTTTTGTCTGGAACCTCATGAGCACAGTCTTTACTATCTATATTTCTTTTGGCATCCTGGTCGAATAAACCCCAACCAGAATGGCTCATTAAACTTTGCTTACAGCATTCCCCCATCATGTCCTTCTCTTGTATTTAATAGCACCTCTCATGCAAAATCAACATGTATAGAACATAAAGTATGTTACAACTTCACCCCACATTTTTGCCTGTCTTCTATGAACTGTTTGAGGTGTTGTTTATTTCCTGGGATGTTGCATTATAATCTATTATTCATATTCTTCATCTTTTTGTTTGTTTGGTTCTGGGAATTGAACCCAGAGCCTTTTGCATGCTGGGCAAGTCCTCTACCTCAGATCTATATCCCAGTCCCTGCTATATATATTCTATAATGTTAGTTACCATTTGCTGAATCCTTTCTATGTGCCTTTGTTCTCTTTTTTTTAGATTTATTTTTAATTATATGTATGTGTGTGTGTGTGTCTGTGTGTGGGTATGTGCACATGAGTATGGATGCCTATAGAAACCTGAAGAAAGCACAGATTTCTTGGGCCATTGTTGCAGGTGGTTATGAGCTGCCTGATATGGATTCTGGGAACCAAGGTCAGGTCTTCTGAAAAAGCAGGAAGCATTTTTAACCACTGAACCATCTCCCCAGCTGCAAAGCCTATGTTCTTTTTTTTTTTTTTTTCTTTTTGAGACAGGGTCTCCCTGTAGCCCTAGCTGGCCTGGAACTTACTATGTAGACCAGGCTGGCTTTGAACTCATAGAGATCTACCTGCCTCTGCTGGGATTAAAGGCTTACACCACCACCCCCGGGCCAAATCCAGCATCCTTTTAGTAGTAAGAGCTATGTTATATGTTTTCCTTAGCATACAAAGTCTTGTATTACATATTTAAATATATAGCTACAGAATGAGGTGGAGTTTAGGTAGGTGTTTTAATGATAGAATCTTAAGCCTAGTACAGTATTTGTTATTTATTAGACAAGAATTTTTGGATCCTTCATTCCTTTTTTTTATTATTACTATATTTTATTTATTTATTTATTTATTTATTTATTTGTCTTTTTTTGAGACAGGGTCTCCCTGTAGCCCCAGCTATCCTGGAACTCACTATGTAGACCAGGCTGGCCTTGAACTCACAGAGATCCACCTGCCTCTGCCTCCCAAGTGCTGGGATTAAAGGCGTGCGCCACAGCGCCTGGCTTATTTTTTATTTTATGTGTATGAGTGTACTGCCTGCGTGTAAGGGTGAACCCGTGTTGTACAATGCTTGCGGAGGTCAGAAGAGGGTTTCAGATCCCCTGGAACTGGAGTTAAAGTTAGTTGTTAGCCATGATGTAGGTTCTGGGAGTAAAACCTGGGTCCTCTAGAAGAATAGCCAGTGCTCTTAACTTCTGAGCCGTCTCTCCAGCCCTGGATACTTCATTCTTGGTGATAGTGTACCTACAATCACCACTTCACTTTGAAAATCAAATCATGTCAGAAGTTTTGATTTTTAGCTAATTAGTATTGGCCTTTAAGATGGTGCTAATTAATATGATGCTTATTTTACTAGGGAGATGAATGGAAATTATTGCTGCTTAAAAACAAGGATATATTCTTTCTTTTTTGTGCTCTTGAATGTAGGGCATTTTTTAAGGTTGTGTTTTGGCTGCACTTAGACCACAGTTGCAGACACTGCGCTCCACTAGCGTGAGCATTTTTACCAAATGCAGCGTTTCTTTTTCCCTTGCGGAATGAGATACACTGTTTTTAGTTTGGTTAAGGTACATGTCTAGATAGGTGCTTGGTTTTTAAATGCCCTTTAGTGGCTGAAATAATAGAATAGCTTAGCCTTAAAATTTCCTTCTGAATCTTTGTTGTGTCCTCTTTGAATATTTATGTTGCTTGCTATGGCACTTATGATTCTGAAGACACCAGACAACTGAGGAGACTGTCTTGTTTTTTTTTTTTTTAATATCTCTTTTTAGGGACATGGAATAGATGTTTACTAATATAGTTTAAAAAAAATTATGATGAGCCGAGTGTCATGTGCAATTCTCCTTTATAAGCTATCAATATCATTTAAAAATACTGTTAACCATTTTTATAAAGCAGGAAACCTATTAAAAACTGCTAATAAAAATAGGTGCGTATTTTTGTGCTAATACTAATTACTAATAATGCATGCTTATGTTTGTCACTCATTACATGGTGCTATACCAATCAGTGGATGACTGAGATTCACGCACTTACACATGTAAATTAACCATTAAGTTTTTTTTTCCTTTTTTTACTTAAGTGAGTCATAATAGAAAGCAGCTCTAGGTCATAAAAAATCTCTTCTCTTTAATGCTAATGAAATGTCCCCACTCTATTAACAGAGTACCCTTATTGGTAATCTGTAGCCTTGTCTTTTGTTCCAGCGGTAATGAAATGCTGGGTGCTGAGCACCCCAGCTCTCCAAGAATGTGGGGCCAGTTGTCCTCCGCTCACTTATACTGTAAAATTACTGTTCCCCAGCAAAGCTGAACAAGTGCAGCGGCAAGATCAAAGAGTGTGCATTGGCGTCGGGCTGCACTAAGTGACTTCTGCTTTATTAATTAGTCATAGCTTCTCCAAGTTAATTTTCTAGGCTAGAACAAAAACATTCCATTATACAAAAACAGCAAAATAGAACTCGACCACAGGCCTCTACTATTTGATTCCTTCAGGCTTTTGGTTTAAGCCTCTGTGCTATGTTATACACTAAACATCCTTTCACTTTTCTAAACCTTAAGGCACAAAAGCTACTTTTAGCTTTTTCAGTAACTTTACTGACATAAAGGACAGCTTTTATTTTCTGAAATTGAGTAATTTTTATTGATTAAAAAAAAACTTGTAAATGTATGGGGAATTTAAAACTGATTTTAAAATCTGAAAGTGCAGTTGCTACTGAAATTTGCAAGTTCGCTCTGTCCCCTCATCATGCCACTTGTGTTTAAGCATTTGAAAAGGGCCTTTGCTATGAGTGTTTTTGTGGAAGAAAAATTTGCCTGTGGTCCTAAGCCCAAACTAAATGATACAGCACCACTTTCCTCCATGAACTTCAAACATCCCAGAATCTTTTAAAATTTAAGACATTTCCAGTCATTTATTTTAGTTAATATGTTTTCAAGCCATAGCTTGAAACACAAAAAAATTCACACCCCTCTTTCATAGTTTTGTTTTGTTCGGATGGAAAGGAAATCTTTCAGTGTTTGAATAAGATACCAGCTGTGAAGAGAAAAGCAATTCAGATCTGTTGTAACTACCTGCATTATAACTGGTTAGTTGGTAACTTGTTTCTTGATCAAACTGAAAGAATTCCACTACTTTCTAGATTCTCTAACAAAGTAAAAATAATGTTATTCCTAGCACTCGGGAGGCAGAGGCAGGCAGATCTCTGTGAGACCAAGGCCAGCATGGTCTACATAGTGAGTTCCAGGCCAGCTGGGGCTATGGGAGACCCTGTCTAAAATAAAATAAAATAAAATAAAAATAAAAAAATGAAATAATGTGCTATATAAGTATATGTAAAGCAGGTATTAAGATTATTTAAAATGTGCTATTAAAGAAAGATCAAAACATTTTTATTGTGAGAGTATCTAAAACTCATGCTATATATGTAGGTATCTAAAACTCATGTTAGATGCTCAGCGGAAGCTGCCTGATTGTAGGTCTCAGCCTACATTTAGGTTTTGGAGTTTTCCCTTAATTGCTGCATTTCTTTGTGAATTGGAAAAGCTTTAAAAAAAAAGTTATCATTCAGCTCACTTTTTAATTATGACTTTCAAAACTAAATAATTTTAGAAGAGATCAATAGTTGTAGTTATCAGTAGCCTTCGTTTTATCCATACTATGCATTGTTTTATCTTTATTATGCAATTTTAGTTTTGCCAGAAGTTTGGTTTTTTTTTTTTTTTTAAAGCACTATATTATCCATTCTTTTAAGACATTTTTTTGAAGGAGTATTTGTGTTTGGAAGGTTAGCAGAGGCTGGCTGTGCTGGAATTGACTGCAGTGCCTTTTGATTATTCATGGACAGTAATAGAAGGCACTTAAAAAGAACAATGAAATTGCTTATTTTTGTGATGGGCCATCTGTTGAATTGTTTTGTGCAACAATTGCACAATAGTATCTATGTCATATCATTCTATTTTCAACAGCAGCTGATTATGTCTCACTGGCTACTTGTCCTTATTTCTAAAGTCCCATGATCATTAAAAGTCACCTTTCTGGGGACCTTTGCCAGAAAGGTATTAAGAATTTCAAGCAGCCTGTATATTTTAATATTGTTATTCTTACTCTTTTTTCCTCTTTCCTTTTTTTTTTGTGTGTTTATGTGTGGTCACAGGAGGAGTGGGTGACCACAGGAGGAGGGAGTTGATCATATTCTAATTAATTGGACTTCCTAAATACTTAGGACAATTTCCTAGGCTTTCCACCCATACTTCTATGAAAGATGTTAGCAGCAAAAGCGGAGTCAAGTTTAAAAACTGTTCATACTTGTAATTATCCACTCTTTTTCTTCATGACGATAATTAGAATTTTTCTCTTGGAATTCGCCTCCATCTTAATAATAATAAAAAGAGAGCCATTAGCAAATTTGTTAGAGCAGAAGTGAAATTAAAATAAAACAAATGCGTTGTTGTCCACAGGTCACCGACATCGCTGATGCCATGATTCTGAAACAGCTTTTTGAAAATCTGTTCAAAAACGGGGTCGTCGTTGTGGCAACATCTAACAGACCACCGGAAGGTAAAAACAAACATTGGGCTGTCCTCATCCAATTAGGTGCAAACTAACGAGCTTTCAAAAATCCATATTTTTGTAGTAATTGTATCGTGTCTGTAAATCAGATGACTTTGCCTGCCCTCCATTTTATAACTGGCTTAATATGAAAAATCAGTGTAAATGGCGTTTGAAAAACATTTCTGTTCTAGGAAGCTGGATCTAGTTGATCTCAGTGCCGGATACCCTTTTTCCCCCTGGACATGAGACTTGTACATATCCAAAAAATATGTCTTTCTAACTGCTTTTTTTTTTTGTTGTTGTTCTTAGCCACTCTAACTGCTTTTTGTGGGCTATAAAAGAAAGCTCAATGAAATGAAAGAGAAAACTTCTAATTAAATTTTAGAAAAAGACAATACTTGCTTGCATGAGTAGTTTTTTAATACTTCACTTAATTTATCATTTTTGAGAAGGTACTTGTGACTTATTAGGAAAGCCTTTAAGAATTAAAATGCAAGCAATATTTAGATAAAAGTAATGGGTTTAAAATCTTCTATTTTTCAGCTCATCATGTGGTCAGTTAAAGGAACCCAAAGTAATATTTTATGAGGAACTAGATGTATGGTTAGGTCCTTACTGTCAAGTTGTTGCTTAAAAGTTACTTTTCCAGAGAGGCCTAGGCCTGCCACCCTGCTTGAGTCTACAACCTCATCCTCTTCTGATGTTACTTTTCTTACCTTTTTTCTATGTATTTTTTAATCTTGTACTTATGAACCCCCTCCCCCATAACAGACTTGTTTATTTTATTTTTGGTTTATTTTCTGCCCCCATTCAGAATGCCTAGTTTTCTGTGACAGTAGAAGTTCTTATCTCATTAAGTGGATGTAGTCTAAGTACTTCAGAGGACCTAGTATGCAGCTGGATCTAAGAAGTAGACTAGAATGAATGTGAAACACATGCACGTTCTCCAGGGACCTGGCTGTGGAATAGACTGTGGGGATGAACTGTCAAGCGACCACTGAGAAGACTATTACAGCAGTCCTTAGGGAGGTGATGGAGCAGTGAAGCAGTAAGAAATGATCACATACTGGTTCTATTCTGGATGCAGAGTTAGACAAATTTACTGATGAACCAGGGTGTTAGAGAATGGAAAGACAAACCAAGAATGACTCAAGGTCTGGGCTAAGTGATTAGAAGGAGGTGCTGTAAGATCTTTCTCAGGCTCATTAATGTGGTTGATTGGTTTCTGTCAATGTTATATAAGAGTATTTTATTCATTTGTTATTATTATTATGCTTATTATTTGTGTGTGTGCATGTATGCATGTACATGGATGGCACAAGACTACTTTCAGGAGTTGGTTTCCTCCTTCTGCTATAGTGTCTGGGGATTGAACTCAGATTGTCAGGTTTGTAAGTTCAGAGACATCTCACTGGCCCTGGAGTTTTCTTTTGTTTTTGAAACCAGGTCTTATTACATAGCTGACCCAGAACGTGTTTCAGCTTCCCAATGTATAGCATTCCTGTGATGTACTAGAGTTCAATCTTCCAAACCAAAGCAGTGAGATTTTAAATTGTTGGATCATGGTCTGGGAGATGGCTCAATTGGTAAAGTACTTGCCATATAAACCTGACAACTTGAGCTCAGACCCCCAGAATCCATGTAAAAAGCCTGTAATTCTAGCTCAGGGAAGGTGAGAGATAAGAGAACCCTTGGGACTTGCTGGTGAACTGTAGATTCAGTGAGAGAACCCTGCCTCAAAATATTGGGTGGAGGGATGGAGAGATGGCTCTTAGCTGGATATAGTGGCACATGCCTATAGTCACAACACTTGGGAGGCAGAGGCAGGTGGATCTCTGTGAGTTCAAGGCCAGCCTGGTCTACATAGTGAGCTCCAGGCCAGCGGGGGCTATAGGGAAATGCTGTTTCAAAAAGACCAAAAAAAAAAAAAAAAAAAAAAAAAAAAAAAGGAAGAATATGTATTGCTCTTGCAGAGGACCTGAGTTCAATTCCCAGTACCCACATCAGGCAGCTCACAACTGACTGTAACTACAGCTCCAGGGCATCCAACACTTCTGGTCTCTGCAGGCACTCACACAGGTGCACATACCTACACACAGACATACACATAATTAAAATTTAAAATCTTTATTTTTTATGTATATGAATGTTTTGGCCTGCATGTGTATAAGTACACCTGTGTGTATAATGCCCACAGAGGTCAGAAGAGGGCATCATTATACACCTGTGTGTATAATGCCCACAGAGGTCAGAAGAGGGCATCAGATCCTCTAGAACTAGAGTTACAGACAGTTGTTAGCTACCATGTGGATGCTGGGAACTGAACCCTGGTCCTCTGCAAGAACAACCTGTGCTCTTAACCTCTGAGCCATCTTTCTAGCCCCCAAAATAAAATAATTTTTTTAAAAAATGAAAAAAAATAGGATGGAGCTGGACATGGTGACATATACCTTTTATTCCAGTCCTCTAGAGGCAGAGGTAGGAGGATCTTTGTGAGTTTGAGGCTAGCCTGGTCTACATAGTCAACGTAGCCAGTTCTAGGTCATACAGGGCTACAGAGTTAAGACTCTGTAATCTCAGCACTGGGGAGGCAAAGACAAGAAAACCGCCCATTCAAGACTAGCCTGGCATACATAGTGAATTCTAGGCCAGCCAGGGCTACATAATGAGACCCTGTTTCCTCTCCCTCTCCCTGAAAAAAAGAAAAAAGTCCCACTTATTCTCAGATGGTTATAACAACTGGTGGCAGAAAGTTCTTGGCTGAGAGTTGAGGCAAAGCTAAAGAGCCAGAAAGAGAGTGGCCTATTTGTCAAGCTCAGAAGGCTCAGAAGGAGGAGCCATGTGACTGAAAATGGGAAGTACATGGAGAATCTGGAGGTAGGAGCTAGACTGTAAAGCAATAATAATAAGGATTTTGAATTTTATTCTCAGAGGTATGGTAAGCTTACATTAAAAAGCAGAACTGACAAGACCTTAGTTGGAAAGATTGCTTTGGTCAGAGTATAAAGAATAGGTTTCTGGGTACGGTGTAGTAATATGGTGGACCCAGAGAGACACATTAGAAAGCACCTATAGAATACTAGGCAAGAGTAGCCGGGCGTGGTGGTGCACACCTGTAATCCCAGCACTCGGGAGGCAGAGGCAGGTGGATCTCGGAGTTCGAGGCCACCCTGGTCTACATAGTGAGTTCCAGCTGGGGCTACAGGGAGACCCTGTCTCAAAAAGACAAAAAAAATTTACTAGGCAAGAAATGGTTATATTCGGTACCAGGCAGTGACTTTCCACGGGGTGCTGTTTTGCTCACTCTTTAGCAGTGTTGGATTCATTTTTGATTATTCTACCCAAGTGGAGGGTGATGCCACTGACATCTGGTAAGGTTGAGGTCAGGAATGTTGCAAAACATTGTTAATGCAAAGAGCCACTTCCTGCACAAAGAACTATGTGCACAAAAATGTAAATAGTATCTAGAATAAGAAACCTGGTATAGGGTGATGGCAGGGAGAAAGACAATGAGGAAAAAAAACCTACAATTTAAAATTTTATATATATAATTCTCATAGTTTATATTCTGTAATGAAGTTTTTCTAGTGTCATGATAATTCCAGTAGGAAAAAATAGATTTAATTGGATAGTGACTCAGATAGCAGGCTAACAGGTCAGTAGATCAAGTTAGTTAAAATTTCAAAATTAAATTAATAATTAAACCTGAGAAATCCATGCAATAAAAACAGAAATATAGTGTTATAGGAAAATAGACTATATAAGTCACAATGATTGCAGTTCATTGTCAGTACAGTATGAGGTGCTGAAAAGATAGGGGCTCTCAAGACTGAAGCTGGAACTGTGAGGGCGCAGAAGGGCAGAGTTCTGCTTTGTTGTTTTTATTTTTATTTATTATTTTTATTTTATGTGTATAAGTGTAATGCCTGCATGTAGGTAGGTGCACCCATGTTGTGTGATGCCTGTGGAGGTTAAAAGAGAGTGTAGGATCCTCTGGACCTGGAGTTACAGATGGTTGTTAGCTGTCATGGGGTGCTGGAATCGAACTTGAGTCCTCTGCAAGAGCAGTCAATGCTCTTAACTACTGAGCCATCTCTCCAGCCCCAGGGTTTGTTGTTTTTTAACACTAAAAAATTGTTTCCATGTGTGTGTGCAGGTGCACATGGACCATGGTACACATGTGGAAGAGAGGACAACTAGTGGGAATTGATCCTTTCCTTCTATCATGTGGGTCTCAGGTGATCAGCTTTTACCTTTACCCACTAAGCCATCTCACTGACCCAAATTTCTTTTCATTTACTATTTATTATAATGAAAATGAATTAGGTAACCTTAGAATATTCTGTCTAGAATAATTAGAATAATCCTGTAAAGAAATGAGACTTTTCCTTGAGAAGAGAGCTCTAAAACTGATGTAGAAGGATGCTAAGCTTGAGGACAGCCTGGACTACATAGAGTTCAAGGTAAACTAAACTACATAGTGAATTGAGGCTGGTCTAAGTAGCACAGTGTATTGCACCAGTGGGCACATCTTGCCTGGCAGGTCAGTATTATAGCATGCAGAGTCCACCACTGGCTAAGTCCATTGATGACCTTTCTCCCCCAGTGGCCTACAGCTGACCTTCCAGCACTGTGAAAGCTAGTCGGTAGGGAGGAGTTTCTAGATTAGTTCCAGCTTGACCCTTCTGTTTCTGGCAACCAAAGTGTGTTGTGTGTTTTCAACAATAGGGTCTTACCATTTAGTTATGGTGGGTAACTAAGAGCATTGGCAATAAACTGTTTTGATTTAGAGATCTCTAGGGCCTTCATGCCCAGTATCTCCTAAGGAAATATCCCATGCCTGGCACTGAGATTTTCATTTAATATTCTATGTCTTCTGGGGGAAATATTGTCAACCCTCCATCCTTTTTAATTTTAATTAATTATTTTTATTTTATGTATATGAGTGTTTTACCTGTGTGTGGAAGTGCACCTGTGTCATGCAATGCCTGTGGAGGCCAGAAGAG